TGAATGGTTCACATACGGATCTGGATAATTAAAGTACTAGATTGAATGGTTCACATACGGATCTGGATAATTAAAGTACTAGATTGAATGGTTCACATACGGACTTGGATAATTCAGGTACTAGCTTGAATGGTTCACATACGGATCTGGATAACTAAAGTACTAGATTGAATGGCTCACATACGGACTTGGATAATTCAGGTACTAGCTTGAATGGTTCACATACGGATCTGGATAACTAAAGTACTAGATTGAATGGCTCACATACGGACTTGGATAATTCAGGTACTAGCTTGAATGGTTCACATACGGACCTGGATAATTAAAGTACTAGATTGAATGGTTCACATACGGACTTGGATAATTCAGGTACTAGCTTGAATGGTTCACATACGGACCTGGATAATTAAAGTACTAGATTGAATGGTTCACGTCAGTGTAACATAAATATTGTTATCATTGAGAATCATGCACCTTCTAATATAACCATGGGAACCTACGGTCAACACAGCTTGATTTGCATAAAAAGAAAGGGGACATACAGTTAAACCAGGAAATGAAGACACAACATATGACCATAAAACAGAGAAAACTAAAACCTTAAATGCAATAAGTCAAAATGAAAATAACTTTCTGCTCAGAGCAGACTGAAACTTACAGTAAAACAAAAACATCCGGTTACACACAGATATCAAGCGAACAATGTCCTTGGAATATACCAACAATGACTCTGGCATATAAACAAAAAACATCCAGTTACACACAGACAATTGACGAACAATGTCTCTGGAATATACAATAAAAACATCCGGTTATACACAGACAACTAACCAACAATGACTCTGGCATATAAACTAAAAAACATCCAGTTACACACAGATATCAAGCGAACAATGTCGTTGGAATATACAAGAAGAAAACATCTGGTTATACACAGACAAATGACCAACAATGACTCTGGCATATAAACAAAAAACATCCAGTTACACACAGACAATTGACGAACAATGTCTCTGGAATATACAATAAAAACATCCAGTTATACACAGACAACTAACCAGCAATGACTCTGGCATATAAACTAAAAAACATCCAGTTACACACAGACAATTGACGAACAATGTCTCTGGAATATACAATAAAAACATCCAGTTACACACAGACAACTGACCAACAATGACTCTGGCATATAAACAAAAACATCCGGTTACACACAGACAACTGACCAACAATCTCACTGGAATATACAACAAGAAAACACGACACATTTTTAATTAAACACAAATGTTTAAAGACGTTTCGTATCGCTTTAAAAATTTCAAGGGAACACTGAAAATCACAATAATAAACACCGGTACAAATAATAAGGACAAAACGTTTACAGTGTAGGAAAAAAGAAACGTGAAATATCACATTAAGCTACAGTAAAACACATAAATGTTATAAATACTTTGGTGACATAAATGTGTTTTATCTTACCGATTATCAACAGTAAGAAACTTCTGAGAGTTTTTGACCACTGGCGATTTGACAGACAATACGGATGGATTAGCGTGCACGTTAAAGTTCAAATTTTTCTCTACTGATACACTATAACGAAGTACCCCTTGGAACAGAGGGTTAATTGTTTTCTTGAAAAGATTTGAATCTGAATTTGAAATCTGATTTTGATACAATGGGGATTTTCTTAGAGACACTGTAAGATTTGGTGCTGCGACCGACGATTTGGGGAACTCTCGTTTCTTCTGTTGTTTATTACACGTCTGTTCTAACAGAGAATTCCAGAAGACTGGCGATGAAGTTGGTGATAATTTGTTCATATTTAGCTTACAATCCTCTTCTGGTGTTCGTGATATTAAAGACTGTATTTTACCAGAATTAACTGAATCTTTGGGTGATGATAAATCAGGTTCGCTGACTGAAAGTGATTGTGATGGAAGATTTTTGCCAGTAGAGGGTGCTAGTGGTGGTTTGTCAACCGTGGTATTTACCACACCTGGTTCTGATTTTGTTTCGGTGTTAGAGCCCGGATGGTTAGAATCAAAATTAACATTCATGTTTAGCTCTTCTTCTGTTGTTGGTTTGACCTCTGGCCTTGTGACACTTCTGTTGAGCATTTCGGCCAAGGGGGCAGTCTCATCTGATTTTGTTTCTCGATTCTGAGGTTTTTCTTGAGAAATAAAACGATTTTGTGGTCGAAATGTATCAATTGTTACTAACGGTTTGCGAGCACCTTCGTCAAAGTAAATCTCCGGAATCTTGGGCTGTGGGCCACGGCTATCCGTGATTGGTGTTTCGTCGTCCCCACAAAGTTCAACTGAAGACGTCCCTTTACTGGTCAAAGAGGGAGATCTTTTTGTTTGGTAAGAATAATAATAAAAAGGTTCCATATCACTTCCAGAAGCCGAGGACTTTCGCGAAACAACTGACATTATTCTATGTCCTTGTGAAGATTCAGAGTAAGGCTGAAATATAAATCACTCAGATGATACTTTTAAACGATACAAGTTTACATTGTGTTCTATCTTCTACTTTTAAAATTTTCGTAAGTTAATTCGTTGTATAATTCACTCATTAATGTCTTTAACATTTCCATTTGATAATATATATTTTAAATGTTGAATAAGTTAAACACTTAACATCAGTCTTAAAAATTACAATACAGTTTTCTTACTAACATTAAATCTGAACACCTACGCTTATTATCTCAACTCGACATCTTAACTTTCAACCTCCTTTTAAATAATTTATTTTCTCTCTCGCTCTCGAAATGTATATTTAACCTTATTTAACAGATTGTTCATTAGTTTAGATTTCACAACACCTTATCAATTTACTAGTATTACTCCCGTGGTATGAGGTAGCCTACTGTGTAGCTTTGCGATAAACCAAATCATCATTCCGATGCTCCCGACACCGGAACCCTTTAACCCATAAAACTTAACTTTCTTATTCCATGATTTAACTTCACATTCAAGTATATTAACCCAATACTCGAACCATCCAGCTAGTATTACAATTATCCAGATCCGTGTGTGAACCATCCAGCTTATACTACTTATACTAACCATTTAATTTCAAGCTTTCATCGTTCAAATCTATATATATTGATAAAGATAACATATGAAATTTATGGTTAAATCTCTAGAGTTACCCTAACCATAGAACGTTATACTTTAGTTATCCAGATCCGTGTGTGAACCATTCAATCTAGTACCTGAATTATCCAAGTCCGTATGTGAGCCATTCAATCTAGTACTTTAGTTATCCAGATCCGTATGTGAACCTTTCAAGCTAGTACCTGAATTATCCAAGTCCGTATGTGAACCATTCAATCTAGTACTTTAATTGTCCAGATCCGTATCTGAACCATTCAATCTAGTACTTTAATTATCCAGATCCGTATTTTAGTATATATGAACAATATTTATGTTACCCTGAAAGTATATTCCAAAAATATATTTCTAATTATATATTAAAGATGACATTGTTTGTGTGTGTACTATAATTCAATTTTTAGAATGCTACATGTAATAATTATTCAAGGTATTTATATATCAGTAAAGCATGATTTGGGTGACTGACATCTCTGTACAAGAAAAGTGGTTTTAACTTATTCAGCGGTTTAATATATTCATAACTCAGGGTAACATAAATAGTGTTCACATATAGTAAAGTCAGGGTAACATAAATATTGTTCCTATATACTAAAGTCAGGGTAACATAAATATTGTTCCTATATACTAAAGTCAGGGTAACATAAATATTGTTCATATATACTAAAGTCAGGGTAACATATATATTGTTCATGTATACTAAAGTCAGGGTAACATAAATATTGTTCATATATATATATACTAAATACTTTTTCTCTGAACTTACCAAATCTTTTGGATTCGTGTTTTTCTGAGCATTTAGAGTTTCTTCTTTTGTTCGATAAAACGAAGGCTTTTCTACATACATCTTACTAGGAATGACAGATATTTAAACAGAAAGAAAAAATTAGACTTATAAAGAAATCGTTATTGACAATAATAACAAGGGTTTGTGTATTGGTCGAAATATATCTGTCTGCTATATGAGTTTAATGTTTTCCTTGCTAAGTAATAGGCTTAACTAATATAATTTGTTGCCTTTAGGTCGATATGAAGTTGTCAAGTGGTGTTAAGACATTGATTCAAAAGTAGTCGAGACAAAGGTTCGAGTCTAATGATGACCAGGAATGTGTTTACTATGAAAGTTGTTACGTAAATTACCATAGGGTCTATTTACAGAATCGTGTCTAGTGATGACTA